TCTGGGTTTTTGTCGGGATGATATCGTAGAGCCTTTTTACGATAACCACTGGTAATCTATTAATGAATGTTAAACAGGATATTGTATATAATTAATTTCCTTACTTCTTTGTCTGAGGCATCACTTGGTACTTCTAAAAACCCGTAAAGATCCTCAACACCCAATTCCTTCACCAAAACATCCGCCATTTTCTACAGCCACACCTTCTGCAGAACCGTGCCACGTGGTAGCACGTGGTTTAAGCAATAAACCACACCCCTTGGCCACACCTACGTGCAACATGGAAGGGCATGGGGTTCAGACAGATCTTCAAGCAAAAGACAGTTTTGATGGTAAATACATACCAGGAACAGCCAGCCTTATAGCAGAAGTCGACAGTAAGTTGTAAAATGCTACTTTTTACTTAAAATGTTTGAAATGAAATTATAAAAATAATAAAATTATGATTTAAAATTATTATAGAGCGTATATTGGTTGTGTTAAGAGGAGGGAGGACATTGATAGGATACCTCAGGAGTATTGATCAATTTGGTATGTTTCAGTTTTGTAGTAGTGGTATATCAATTACATGTATACACACCATGGTGAATTTTGGAGAAACTTTAAAAATTTGTAAAAAAATCCAATTTTGATCAGAATCAGCTCAAACTTTAAAAATAACATGAGAACATGTATATGTATTAGAAAATTTTATAAAAATGAAGAATTCTTTTCTAGTCATTTTTGGGGAAATTGGGCCAAAGACCCTGTACTATAGTACAGGGACTTTGGCTCGATTTTTGAGTAACTTCAAAAATTTGTAAAAAAATCTATTTTTGATTGGAATCAGCTCAAACTTGCTACACAACATAAGAACATTTATACGTACATGTATCAGAAAAAATTATAAGAATTCTCTTGGAGTCATTTTTAATGGAATATGCATTGTTATTTCTGTTTCAATTGCTTATTGTTACTTTGTAGCGAATCTGTTGTTGCAAGACACTGTTGAACGCATTCATGTCGGAAAGAAATATGGAGATATACCTAGAGGAATATTTCTAGTCAGAGGAGAAAACATGGTCCTCTGCGGAGAAATAGTGAGCCTACCCTAGACTAGAGAGAGAGGGGGGGACAAGAGAGTCATTCTTTACTCTCTTTCTCAAGGAGAAATCACTTGAAGAAAGCATGGAACTGGAGAAGGTCTCGATCGAGGAGATTATTGAGGCACAGAGACAAGAAAACGAGAAGAGAGAGAAAGAGAACAAGAGAAAAGAGGAGCTATTACGACAGAAAGGACTTCCCGTCGTGAGAGACGAATCTGAAGATATTCTGTCATGAATTTATAAATAAGTGTAGCAGGCACACACCCACTCATTATGATTATTACTTCCAATATGTGTGACATTCAAAATAATACATATTGACACTAATATTCCAATAACATTTTGAGGATGAATATTT